CAATGCCCTTACATACGACATCCCTTAATAAAAGGGTACAACGAGAAACTAAAAAAAACAAATACAATACGACATCATATATAAGAAAATACATGAAACAAATAAAAAATACAAGGACTCAATCGTGGCCATAGATCGGCCGTCACGTCTCTGATAAACCTTCCATGATCTGATGTCCACATTACTTACAAGCATGATGTTGTGCAAAGTCTTCCAAACATACAGACTGTGTTGTTGCATTTGGAACGTTGAAAGTACCCGAGAAGAACCACTTATACGCCATGCAAGTAATCGCGATCGAGAACGACTATCTATGGATGCGATGTTATGTAAAATCGTCGAATGTGGTTTTATCATGAAATAGCTTGAATCGTTGAACCCAAAGCATTGAATTTATCAAAGGGGAACATCTTGCCCCCGATTTGAGCAATCGCGATAAAAAATTACGAACTAGAGACACGACATTTTGTGAAGTCATCAAAATGATCTCCGATCACGAAATGGACTTTGATATTATGTTTGGAATGCCAAAATTACCTGGAAATGACACCCATATTGTATGTGTTGTTGCACGATGCGAAATTTTAAAATTCGCTCGCATATGAGGCGTTGATACCCAAATTGAGATGCGCGAGGAATGAGAAAATTATGTGAGTGGTCAATTTTATAATATTAAAAAAATCTTATCTAATTCTGACCAATTCTTCATATGTTGCCAAATTCTCATTCAGCTGCCTGCCTCATCTCGTCATCCATAAATATAATAAAAAGTTAATAATTAAAAAAAATATTTGACACCTAATCTCAAATTTCACTCACAGCCAATACACTTAGGCCTAGTTCTATGTATACACGACGACTGATCGTCCCTACCTACTTCGACTCGAGCAGTCAACACCTGATTCCCCTCCAACCAACACCCTCTCACATGACATCTCATTCCATCACCTACTTCACTCTCAACACCTCACACACACAGCATGCCCTCTACACGCACAGCCATTGCATTACTAACCTTATTGCCACCTATCTAATGCAACCACTCCCTACCAACCCATGCATGGCACTAAACTCCTTCCCAACAGTTGACATCCTCAAACAACCCTTTCTTCAAGTTGGTGCACTGCCCTCAGCCTGCACAACCCTACTATCAAGCCCAATGGTCCCTCCTTTGGTCAAATACATGATCCCAACACTCGTCCTTCTTCACGCAATGTCCAACCCTTCTCTACATTCACACCCCACAACCAACCATCTACCCTACTAGCCCATTTCTTCTTAGCCAGCCTACCTGCACCAAAACCAACCCTAGTCCTTACCTGACATAGCCGATCACCAGCCCCTCACCTACTAGCCTACTTGTTCTTCTCCCAAGACCAGCCACACATCTCTCTAAAATAGAGAGAAAATATCTTTAATATTTATCTCTTTAAACCTCACTCTCTACATGTATTATATATATATATATATATTAAAAATATAAAAAAGGAGTTCTAAAAAGAGGGGAAAAGAAAAAATATATTGCAAAAAAATTGTGTTGCCCGTTTCCTCATCTTGTCTCGTCTCGACGCCGTCGGCTCATGTGTAGGTATAAATTTTGAAACACTTAAAATCTCCAAAACTCCTAATTGTGATAAGTTCAACATAATGAGCCGAATTTGTGTGCATTTTCTTAGTGTGGGTGGAGAAACATACATGCTTTTATTAACATGGCAGGAGAAACTCGTATGCGAAGTTCGTGACTTGTTGGATTTCACGTTTTTCTTAACACTACAAGGTAAATTTAAGTAGTTGTTTGCGTTGTTCTAGTGCGGTTGGGAAATTTGTCATTTCACTAGTGCATGTATTAAAGATCAATGCACGCCTTTTTAGTCATGTTGGATTGAAGACCACGATCATGGCTTCTCATGAAATCGATCATGCACGCCTTTCTTAGTGTGGTGGGCAGACATAGATTCATTGTCACTTTAAAATTCATAGTTCAGTAAGATGCAAACTATTCATAAAGGACATCAACTCCTTCAATCATAAACAGAAGGTGTCCAACATTTCATTTCAAAATTTTCATCTGTAGAGCAACTATAAGAAAACTAAAACTTTTAATTATCAACAAACAACTAACCTTAATCCAGAAGTTCTTTATAGTGATAACAACAAATATAAAATTAAAACTGAACTTGTCACTATTTGGGCTTAACCTTATCCTTGCCCTTTTTTAGAAGAATAGTCAGAATAATAATCTGGCGAGCAACGATGTCCATAAAAATATACATCTTTAATATAGTTATTAAGTATAGGATTGCAATCATTAACATGTGCAACCACTGGTGAAGGTAAGAACTGCATGTAATTATTTAACTAGCAATATGTATAATCTGTAATCTTTTAGTAGGGAAAATAATACTACAGAGAGAAATTGTGCTCTTCTGAATTAAATATTCAAATACATGTCACATAATGCCTATATCATCACTTTTGGTCAATTATAATTGCATACAATATGTAAATAATACATTGCAAAATGTATCATATATCCATCTCATATGGGTCCCCTTTTTTATCTCAAAATGTATCATGTCAAGATGTTTAAGTCTAGGTTTATAGCCCATAGGCTCTTGAGTTCGCACTGTCTTTATAGCTTGTAGGCTCTATAGCCCGTAGGCTTCATCATACAAGTCGTACTTGCCATCATACAAGTCGTACATGCCTCTACTGAGTCGCACTGCTCTCACCTGCCTATCACTTAAGATTATTTTTTCTTAAATTTATCTGATCATTGCTTTTTCATCAACAGGTTGTGTGACCCTTGACTGTATATACATATAGATATGCATGTGGATTGGTATGATTGTTATGTATATTAGTATCTAAGAAGATATGACTATATGAATCACATATCACAAGTCATAATATAACAAAACTGCACATGAAAACGTAATATAACCAAATCCTAGATTATAGATAATTACATGTGAATTGGTAGTATGAACCATAATTCTAGTCTAAATCACAAACATATAAGAGTACACATTTAGTCAAATAATACCCAATTAAACTTTCATATTGTATTACAAAAAATGCATATCATACTTTCTTGATGCGTTGACTCATCATGTTAGACACCTCGAATTTTCCCTCATGTTTAGGGCACCTACACCAACCTTAAATTGATTAAATTGAAAAATGTGTACAATGTGCTACTTGAATCATGCAACTGAAACAATTCACAATAATCATACCTTCCAATTCTCAAACCACTTGGAGTTTTCTCAAAATATCCTTTGGACTACAATTGTCCAACTGAACAATGTTAAACTAAAAATGTTAGAAACAATACTAAACATTCAACTTAATATTTTACCTTCTCTTTCTCTCTCTTTCTTTCCTCCAGTTATTTCTTTCTTCTTCTTCCCTATTTCTTCTCTTACTCTTCTTCCCTTACTCCTTCCTCTTACTCCCTTACTCTCACACTACTACTTCCATTTGTTTTTTGGGGAATTTACATACATACCACTTTATAACTTCCTATTTACATATCTAACACTTAAAATTTTAACATTACATACATAATATCCTATATTATTTTAATATCAAATATACCACTCATATTTCTTTCCTACCACTCATATATTCTATTTCTGCCACTCATATTTGATATGAAAATGAACTATGTGTGGTATGTATATAATATTAAAGTTTTAGGTATTAAATATGTAAATAGAGTAGTATAGGGTGGTATGTATGTAAATCTCTCTTGTTTTTTTCATTATTGGCCTTCCCTTACTTCAACCGGCCAGCCTGAGCACCTCCAACAAACTTGGCCATACCAGCACCACTCAATCAAGCCCCTGGAGCACCTTACCTCTTTTGACCAACTCGTACCCTCTCTAGTTCCTGATTTTGCCTCCCTCAGCTACTCCAACACGAACCGAGGGCACTCCAAGACTAATATGGCTCGATTTTTGGTAGAAACTTGATTAAAAGAACTTACATTATGCTATTTACTTAATTTCCCTTCCACCTATACACTACATGAAATTATCCATCCAAATTCCTGCCCTTATCTACAGTAAATGTGATCTACCTACCTCTCCCGCAACCAAAAAATCATGCTATCCTGACCTTCTCTTTTGAAAGAGCTTGCTTTTGATGGCATGAGCTTGTGAAGTCTCACAACTCTATTCTCTTTTCTTTCATAAGGGAATTGGCTGCCTTCATTTATTCATATCCCATCCTTTGGTCAATCAGCGTAATCCCGAAAGCTCCTTATTTCACAGCGGATCTAGCGCCATATGTTTGGCCTTCAAAGAGATGATTCAATAGCAGTAGCACCAGTCATAAAGGGTCAATAAATAAATTTTAGAACTTAGGAAAAATGCAAGGAGATTTAATTTTCTAACTTTCAGTCCATTGCAATTTGATATATAGTTCTATATGTTGAATCGCTCCATTCAATGAGTAGAATACAATGACATTAAATTTGTTGAATTTTGTGGAAGTTGAAATTTTGTACTGTTTTGAATTGAACTAAAAGGGCACATATTTTACACATATTTTATCAAATTCGGGTTTTACAATTCTACGCTGATTTCCCACTCATGTCTCTAGTACATTGGCAACAGTGAAGATTGTAAATCTCAAAATCCATGTTTTTCATGAACAATTACTGGACTTAAAAGAGGAAAAATAAGCATCACCTACCTCAATCTTGAAAACATGTTACTTCATTTAATTAAGATTAAGAAGAGAATCGCTCATCATCATACTGGGCCTTTTTAAAGATAATTTATTCAACTAAAGCCACAATAACATTTCCTACTTCGCGAAGCAGTTATAGATCTCGCTAGGGTTCAAGCGTCGTGTTTATCTTGAAATATGGATAACTTGTCATTTTATTGTACAAAACTATGCATCAGAATGACCATGTTTCAACCAGTTTTTGATCTTTGATTTTGTATTACTACCTCTTATTTTTGTCTAATAATATACTTGTAATGCAGGCAACCACATGGTCTTCTTCATCTTGAACTTGGTTGAATTTGTTGGACTCGTTATGACCTTCAAGCCCTTCCTAGCTTACTCAACACAGAGAAGACGATAAGCTTAGTGCACAACATACACCATAACTGCTTTCAGTTCTAATTCTGCAGCTCAATTCAATGCAGGAGAAGACGAATCATTGCAGATTGTTCCACTCTTTCAGTTCAGTTCATCAGTTTCTTTGTTTTCATCTCTGCAATTTCATAAAATCAGCTCTTATTTATTACTGTTGCTTTGTATAACATTACATGCATTTTTTGCGATCGGTGTTTTTATTTTTTTTACTTAATTTATTATAGGTTTTGTTTGGTTTCTGTATTGTAATTATCTCGATGCCCAGTTGTTTTACGTTAATAAATAGAAGATTAGAATTGGGCTGAATGAGTGGATGGGGTATGTTAAATAGTGTTTGTCCTGCTTGGTTTCTTTCATGTCATACTGTTGCACATGTAGATTGGATGAGTTGATAAATCATGTGGCTATGATATTGCTCATTGCGCATTTTTTTAGTTTTTCCGTAGGCACTATTCTTCATAATCATAGAACAACAAGCGCAAGTTTTTATCTTGCTATGTAGAATTGGCTACGTGAAATTTTCTCTCTATTGTATTTTATTAAGAATTAAATTCACATTTAAATATAATAGCTTTTTAATCCAAATTTTCTTAGGATGGTTGGTAGGTGAGCACGGTTGGGAACCTCTCATCTTTGTTTTGAATCCTCTCTACTATGACCTCGCCTATTCAGTGGGGCAAATTAAGTGTTGGTCTGATGCTGGTGGGTGGCCTCGCTAGCTTTCGATGATGAATTAGTTTTGTCGTTAAACTCTCCCTTTGGAGTGGCAGTGGATAGATACCCTGTTCAAAAAAAAAAAAAAAAGTCTATTTCTACCTCTTTTTATGTAGGCTAGATCTAATATATCTAATCTAATAGGGTTACGTGATTGAATCATCTAAGGTGGCTATAATTTTATATGGCATTAGAGTTATTCCAATCTTCTTAATTATTAAAAAATTAAGAAAATTGATTCTTTAGTAAAAGAAAATAGAAGTTAGTATTTGAAAAAAAATCATGAGAAAATTTAGCAAAAGAAGGAAAAAAAAAAGCATTAAGCAATCATGAAGTTTTTATGCTTTATACCAAGGCTTTTAAAATCGGACCGGACCGGACCGGTCGGTTCAACCGGTTGAATCGCGAACCGGCCGGCCGGTTACGGTTCGCCTGAGAACCGTTCTCGCGTCGAACCGGTCTCGGACCGTTCGAACTGCCGGTTCGACCGTTGAACCGAAAAATCGGCTCCGATTTCTCATAACCGTTTTCGCGTCGAAGGGTTGGCTTCTTGATCGACGGCGGCCGTGCAGGATCTTCGCCGGATTCTGCGGAGGGAACCAGAAACAGAATCCGGTCTTGATAGCAAGAATCGGCTTGGAAGAAATCGGCGTCGTCAACGTTGGTGTCGTTGGTGGCGGAAGAAGGCTGTCTCGCCGGATCTTGAAGCAAGATCTCGTGTAATAGCAAGATCTTGAATGTTACGTCACTAGCAACCGGAGTTTTGCTTACGTGAGGAAATCGGCCGAACGGAGGTGATCGGCGGCAGAGCTGCTGGCCGGAGGTTCGCCGGACTCGGCCAAAGAAGCTGCTGGCCGGAGAAAGCAAGGCAAATGCAGAAGCCCGACTTTTGCATCAGGATGGACTTGAAAATATTGATTTTGAGTTAGTATTAGTGGTACATACAATATTAAACAAATGAACTAAGGTCAACCTTAATTGAAGGGCTTTAAAATAAACTTTGAAGCAAAATACATTAGGATCTACCTATGCAATTTCTTTTTTTCGATTGAGCTGCCTACAAAATGCTTAGATTAGTAAATTGAGGCACAAAAGAACTTGACCTAGTGGTGTTTTTGCTTTTGGGGGCTTTAGATCACTGAAAGATGCAATTGGTAGATATGAGGTTTATAATAATTCAAATATGTGAAATAAATTTATTTGAAAAATATAAAAATTCTGAAGTAGAGCACTGTCTCCCTCATTTAGTTGGTTCGCTAGATAGAAATTGAAAGAGCGAAAGAAGAGATATGAGAGAGAAAAATCTTTAGTTTATATTTGTTAGTAATTTCTATTACAAATTTTTTTTTATTCGTTGTAAGTGACTAATCTTTTACTTTTATTTTAATGATTTTAATTTCTATTAATTTTATCTTTTCTAAATCTTTTAAAAAATTCATTATCTCATAATTTCATAAGCTTTCACCATTGCAAGTTTGTATATGTTATAAATTTAATTATTCTGAATGATTTGATATAATTTTATTACATTTTAAATGAATATTGAATGATATAAAATATATGATATGATAACTCCACATGATACCTTACTAATACACGTGATTCACTGATTGCGAGTCATACAGAGCTGGAGATTGATTGAGAGTTATAAGAAGTCGAGATGACTTATTTATGTAATTTAAGAGGAGTTATAAGGATTAAATTGATTAAAAGTTATAAGAGGCAACTGATTGAGAGTCATAAGTGTAAGAGCAAGATATCCCTAAGATACACTCATTAAATACATGAATATTGATATCGACACTGCTACAAATACTGTACTGATATTATGACCGATAAAAATATTATTTATTTTCTTTACTACTATTTAATATTTTTAATCATGATACTAATATTGATCTTGTCATAACTCATAAGTACTAATGGTTGTTACTGATATTGTGACTGATAGTATAATTGATTGAGATGTGATGAACTATAAAATAATAAATTGATGTAGATAATCAGTATATATATTAATGCATGTATTTCTTTATATGAGTTATAACATATTATTCTCTTTTATCTTGCATTAATTTTAGTTATAAGATTTTAGTTACTTGCTGCGTAATATGAATATTATGTGAATTTATATTTTTCAGGAAATGATAAGGATCATATGATATGAAGCTCCTGATAATATGCATAATTTTACTACTTACAGTTTTAAACAAAATACAATCATATTTCTTTTCATTGTTAATTGGTAAGCTATAATTAAATGGTTAAAATGAAAGACATACAATTCTTTCAATATAGATCCTGGAGTGTAACAAAATGATATCAGAGGAATGGTTGTTAGAGGAATTAAAATATAATTAGATCTAATGAGCGGAATAGAAATATGATTTTTTTTTTATAATTAGTTGAATTAAGTTTAAATTTTTTTTTTAGCTTGCTCTCTCTCTCTCTCTGACTGATAAAGAAATGCCGAAGATGATATTTTTCAATGGTTAAGGGATTGTAGTAACTTGAATATATGAAATAAATTTATTTGAAAAATATAAAATTTTGAAATAGAGCACTTTGACATTGATTTTGTGAGTGCTACGACATATATATATATATATATATATTCCTGCCTAATCTCACCACTCCCTCATTTGGTTGCTTAGTCAGAAAAAATATTGAAAGAGGGGAAGAAGAGAGAGGAGAGAAAATGGTCTTTAGATTATATTTTATTAGTTATTCATGTTATAAATTTTATTTTGTGTATTGTAAGTGATTAATATCTTACTTCTATTTTAAATAATTTTAATTTCTATGAATTTTTTCTCTCCTAAATCTATTAAAATTATATTATCTCTGAATTCCCTAAGCTTTCACCATTGCAAATTTGGATATTTTATAGATTTGACATTTAAAATGATTTGATATAATTTTTTTGCATTTTAAATGAAGTACTGAATGATATCAGATACACGATATTATAACATCATGTAATAGCCTATTGATTCACGTGATTCACTGATTGTGAGTCATAAGGAGCTAGACATTGATTGAGAGTTATAAGGAGTTGGGGAGACTGATTCATGTGACTCTAGAAAAGTTATAAGGAATATATTAATTGAGATTTATAAGAGGCGACTGATTTATAGTCATTAGTATATGAGCAAGATACTCTTAAGAAATACTCATTGAATGGTTGAATACTGATATTAACACAACTATGAATATTGTATTGATATTATGACTGACACTAATATTATTTCCCGTCATTAATGTTATTTAATATTATTAATTATGATAATAATATTATTATAGTCATTAGTACTGTTAATTATTATTGATACTGTAACTAATGATATAATTGATTGAGATGTGATGAGCTATAGAAGGATAAATTGATACATATAATCAATATAAATATTAATGCATATAGTTTTTTATATGATTTATATCATATTATTCTCTTTTATCTTATATTAAGTTCAGTTGTAAGATTTCACTTACTTGCTAAGCTATGTGCATATTATGTGGTTTTGCATTTTTTTTTAGAAAAGGATAAGGACCCTATGATATGAGGCTTCAAATAATATGCATAATTTTACTACCTGCAGTTCTAGATAAAGTGTGATCATATTTCTTTTCATTGTTTATTGGAAAGATCTAGTTAAAAGGTTAAAATGAAAGACATGTAATTCTTCCAATATTGATCCTGGACTATGACAAGACTCTCCTAAGATGCTTAGGAAAGTAAGGTTGTGTTTGGTGAAGTTTAAATTTGAGTGGAAGCAGGGTTGGGATGAAGTTAGCATTTGGCCAACCTAATTCTAGCAAATGGTCAAGATATAGAGGCCTAGATTCTAACCCTTATAACTTCCTCTCCACAAGTCTAAATGACATGAAATACAAACCAAATTGAAGGTTAGAAATCTAGTTATGATATAAATAATTTGGTGACTTTAAGTGAAGTTTTTATATTTTTCTTTGAAATTTTTTCAAGGCTGGTTTGTGAATTTCCATCTTTAGTTACAAGTAGAAAAGAAATTGATTTAGGGCTACAAGAACTTTACCCTTTTGTGATGAAAAACCCTAATAAATGTATGGAAGTATATATATATATATATAGAAGTAGGGGATGATGGATAACATAAAAAATAAAAGAAAAAATTTATAGAAATTAAAGTAAAGCTAAAACTTTACTATTAACTAAAGTAGTAGTCCTATAGAGGATCACCAAACCCTTTCTAGTTTAGCCCGCCACAATGCTTTGACCAATGAGTTTTCTTCAAACATCAGTAAAAAAACATATAAATATCTTCATTACATAGCTAATTAAGTATTTATACAAGTAACACAAAAGAAAGATTTAAAATTAGAAAAGAGGAGGGAAAGGGGAAGGTGGTGGCCCTCATAGTTATTACCCTTAGATCTACTAGTACTCCCCACTTAGGTTATGCATCATCACGACCCTAAAATATGCCATCAATGTTGTATTGAGATCTAATAATATAGCTATTATGTTGATCAATGATGAAAAGAATATTCTGATGTGCTAATGTTAAATCTCTAATATTAAGCTATTAGTTAGATAACAAGTAAATTTTTGTGTGTTCATGTTGATACTCTCATAGAAGTGCTAGATGGATCTCTTTTGTTAAAGCAACAACTTGCTTAAGAAGGTAGGGAGACATCTGTCAAGCAATAACAATCTAGTGTCAAC